CCGATTGATCCCAAAGGGGCAGGATATAAATAAATTTTATTATTATTACACCATGTGGCAATCTCAAATCTGAGTATAGCTCATAATAAGATTCATTCACAGTCACTACTAGCCCTCCTTGCCAGTTCCCTCACATGTAAGGGGGGAAAGATAGTCACTTGAGAGACTATTTACTAGTAACAATAAAGGACTTGTATGCATCCAAGTTGTTTTTGATTTATGACCACCCTAATTCAATGCTATCATGAGATTTTATTGGAAATATTTCTTCAGAGGGGGTATACCATTGCTTTTCTCTAAGGCTGAGAAAGATAATCCATTGGGTTTTCATGGCTGAGCAGAGGTTTGAACTCTGATCTCCTGGAGTGCTTGTCCAGTGCATAAACCATTACACCACTCTGGCTCTTGAGAGAGGCCTATTAAACTCAGTTTCAGAGACTGAGGAAATTACAAATCTCCTACTCCTTGGGAATAAACGAGGCCCCTAGGCATCTGTACCTTGTGGTCAAAATGGGATCGGGGGAGCTCACCCTGCCACTTTCATTGCTAAGGAATGAGTTCCCTCTGCCACCCAGACTATGGGCTGCTGGCATTCCTTGGCATGCTCAGAAGTGTCATTTCCATCTCAGGAGAAATTCATTAAATGTCTTTTTCTCTAACAAACTCCCCACCCACCCTACCTCAAAGTTTGTTGTTTTGCTTGGCAGTGGGGTGCTGGAATAGGGCTGTGTGTGCATAAATTTAAGTTTGTTCTGTCTTCAGGAAATGGGGAGGAGGGAGCCAACAGAAGCTTGCTTGTAATTGGGAACTTCTGTATGTGTATATGGTAATGAAATATCCATTCTTATGACAGGTAGTATGTATTGTGTGTGTGTGTGCATTGGAAAGACTTGTATATTTTGAAGACCCCAAAGGAAGTGTAGTTTGGACCCCTTTGGGGATGTCTAGCAGTGAAAGGGTGGGAGGTACATTTTTGTGCATAATGCAATAGCATCTCTTCATTTGATGCTTTATTACCTCATAGAAGTTGTTCATTTATATGGGTAAAAGTGAAGAGCTATACTCCAGAAGATTCTCATGCCCAAAAATCTAATTTCAAAATGATTCAGGAGGTTAATTTTTTTCTCCTATTCTTCCAACGTGTCTCATTTTATCAAAACCACCGCTTGTGGTGCCAGATGGTAAAACAGTACATTACACAAGGAGAAAATGGGGAACTATGATGGAAAAAGAGAGGTTGATGAACAATTGTTCTGATTTTCAAAAGCAAAATAATAAGAGAGAGAGAGAGAGAGCAAACACACAAGAGAGAATGAGTGCTTGTGTTCAAGTACTATTTCTCTTTGCAGATGCTTCAACTAAAGTGCTTTCAACCCTGGAAATGCCAAGGGAATCATCTTCTGCTCCAACACTTGAGGCAGGTGTACCAGAGACGAGTAGCCACTCTTCCATATCAAGTAAGCTTTTTCTTTACTTTGTGGAGAGAAAAGAAATTCCAGCTACAGGATTTATATTTCTTAGTATGTTCTGCTGTCTGGTGCATCATCCCCCTCTTGTTGTTATGTGCATTCAAGTTGTTTTCGACTTATGGCAAACCTAAGGCCATATCATAGGTTTCTTGGCAAGATTTGTTCAGAGGAGGTTTGCCATTGCCTTCCCCTGAGGCTGAGAGCATGTGACTTGCCAAAGGCCACCCAGTGGGTTTCATGGTCAAGCTGGAAATCTAACCTGGTCTCCAGAGTCACAGTACAGCACTCAAACCATTATGCCACACTGGCTCCTTTCATTTATTTATGCATTAATTTATGTGCATTTAGGCATTTAAGCACATAATGTATAAAGGTTAAGTATCCCTTATCAAAAAATCCAAAATTTCTTCAAAATCCAAAACTTTTTTCATGAGTGGCTGAGATAATGGCACCTTTACTTTCTGATGGTTCAGTGCATACAAACTTTGATACATATATAAAATTATTAAAAATATTGTATAAAATTACCTTCAGGCTATGTGTATAAGGTATATATGAAACATAAATGAATTTCATGTTTAGAGTTGAGTACCATCTCTAAAATATTTCATTATGTATATATGCAAATATTCTGAAATACAAAAAAACAAAAAACAAAACCCCAACAACCCCAAAATCCCAGGATTCCATAGCATTGAGTGATGGCAGTCAAAGTGGTGTCAAACTGCATTATTTCTGCAGTGCAGATGCAGCCACAGAATGCAAGGGCATAAGAAGAACCCTGCTAAGTCAACTCAAAGGGAAACCTAGACCAGTATTTTCTTTGCATTGTGCTCATGTAGAAGACTGTACAAGTAGGACACCAGTGGAGTAACATCATCCTGTTTATGTTTCACCAGAAACTGGTATTTCAAAACAATCTGCCCATGATTTTGGAAATGAAATATACCGTATATACTCAACTATAAGTTGACTTCATGTATAAATTGAGGACAGGTTTGAGGGCCAAAATTATGGATTTTGACATGACCTATGGATAAGTGGAGGGTAAAGATTAAAGGCATGAACAAAGAATCTAAAGGATGAAGCAACAGAAAACAAAAAAAACTTACAAAATTCTAGCAGGCATGTTTGCGCTCATATTAAAGGCTGGATGGATGAGAGAACAGTAAGTGATTCCAGGAGAGATTATGCTCTTGCCTTTCCCCAGGTGATGATTCCTTTTTTATATAAGAGTTAAAGTACAACACTTACACTGACCTATGGATGATAAATTGACTCAGTTTTTTGGGGTCAATTTTTTAACTAAAATTTCTAGACGACATTAGTATATACAGTAGCTGTTTGACTAATATCCATTGAAAGCCTTATCTTCCTTTGCAATACTTGATCGTAGTTCATATCCAAGGTTTGGAAAAGTTACTTTCTTAGACTATCCCAGAATTCTCTATGCAGCATGGCTACTGTGCTTTGCTGCCAGGGGGATTCTGGGAGTTGAGGGATTCTAGGAGTTCTGGTCAAACCAGTTGTGTCCCCCAGCTCTGTTCCTATCAGCTGGAATTAGTTGACCAGAGCAGAAAATCTAAAATTATTCCAGCTGTCAAGACATTAGTGTGTAGCCATTAAAAATAGAATCTCACTGGAAAACAGACTACAGATTATTCTGAAAAGTTCATTGATAGGGGTAAAAAGAATATGTGCATAAAATATTCTGTAGGAAAAACACTTTAATCAGAAGTCTGAATGCTGTTGTTTACTGGCCCACCTGGGTCTCAGATGCTTGAGACTTGTTTCAATAACCTCCTGCTGCTCCAACTTCAATATTTAAAATCAAAGTTGTCCTTGAGAAATCAGATAAATAACACTAAAAAACCAATGCTCTGATAGGGAGGAATACGCCTGAGAGCATCTTTAATTTCCATTATAAAAGCTAAGAAGGAAGTTCAAAACAACCAATTTCCTATGTTTTTGACAGCCATCTACACTTGGAGCAGTATTGTCTGTTCTGAAATTTTAATTGCCGCTCTTTCATTGGGAAATTGTCTGATAAACCAATAAAGCCTTTATTTTAAAGCAGTGCACTAGGGAAAATGGAAATTATGTTTTCCTTCAATTTGATGTGAAAGACTACTGCAGTACATTTCTATTATATACATAAAGGAAAAGAATTTTACATAAAATAGGAATGGAATTTGCATCTATTCCAGCAGCCCATTCAGGCTGGATAATTGTGTTGTCACTGGATCAAACTAGCATTTTAAAAGTGTTCTGGCATACAGAAGGAGAGCTCTCTATAAGTGCAATGGAGGGCAACACTTCACATGGAAATACATTTGAAATGGTTTCAATGTGATGTTCACCAGCAGATGTCATTGAAAATATAAAACTGGCACTTAACAGATCTTTCTCTGATATACTCTCTCTTCTACATCTTTAAAAACATTATATATCTACCTACAAGTTTGAACTGTAATACACCTGAAGAATACTTGCATTCAAATTTGTACTCTACGTCTTAAATTCATGGGTTTATCCCAACTACAGTAGACTTATAAAGAATACTTTAATTGGGAATTCTCATTACATTAATGCCTAGAGAATCTTCTCAAGAACTTTGCCCTTCTTTCAATTATTTTTTAGTTATCTGGTGGTCTCATATTTAGGAGAAAAACATAATTTTCAACATTTTTGAAAGAGAACCAATTATTAAAATATTATTTTCATTTGGGTTTTTGAGAGACTCCTTCATATTGTTGACAAAATCTGTTTCATAATCTATAGGAAATAATGTGAAGGAGCCTCTCAAGAACCCAATCCCAGCTTACAGCAAAACATATAAAATCAAGGACAAACACTCAATGATAACCTGTTGTCTTATCTACCTGCTATTGGAGATACCTGGCTGGTCACTACTGGAAACTGCATGCTGCATTTGTTTAATGGTCTTTTACAACTTGTATAATGAGCATTAGAACACTCAGTATTGAGAAAGTGCAGTCCTCCAGATGTTGTTAGACTACAGTTCCCTGCAGCCCGCCCACTTTTCCTCTCTGATGTTGCCTAACACTGTCAACTTTTATTGTTAGAATCTCTTCTGACAGAGCTTTCCCTATTAGTGCAGTGCTTTAGCTAGAAATGTCATGGGCTTTATCCAACATCATTCTTCTTCTGTGGGACTTTACTACCCTCTCTTCCTTCCTGCATCCTTGCTCTAGGAGAGTCTCCCTACCCTCTGGAGCAGATTTGAGCTGCAAGGGGAGTTTGAATGTGGCAGAGGAATTCCTTCTATCAGAAATTTTAATTCTGCTGGCTGAGAGACGTCCTTGGGTCCAACAGGGCACATGAACATACAGAGTATGAATTATTGAGCTACAGTCAGCTCTCCATATCCATGGATTCCTTATCCACAGACTGAACCATCTGCAATTTGAAATATTTTAAAAAATATATAACAGCAAACCTTGATTTTGCCATTTGATATAAGGGAAACCATTTAATGAGATTTGAGCATCCATAGATTTTGGTACCAATCCCAGCAGATACCAAGGGTCCACTATGCAAGGGTCCACTGCAGGCAAATGACTTCTGCTCAGTATGGGAAAGTGATTTTGCCTCGGCAGTATTGAACATCATAAGAGTGGACTTTTTTTATTTCTGACCCACAGATCAGTTTCAACAGATGAAAAGAGGTTCCCTAGGAGCACTGACTATGAACCAGCTAATGAAAAGGCAGCTAGAACACCAGTCTAGTGCACCCCATAATATTAGCAATTGGGACACTGGTAAGTGTATAAATATGTATATTTTTTCTGTAGTTCTTGTGCCATAGACTAATTACTGGCTGCTTGCTGTGCTGAACTGGTATTGTGAAATCATCCACTGCAGAAAAAGAGTCTGGCTTTAACACCAAGTTATTAGCAAAGCTACAATAGTTTTTTAAATTATTTATTTATTTATTGAAGTTATATCCCACATTTCTCACCCAGATAGGTATGCTAACCATAGGTATGCTAAGAAAAGCTATGTCGGATAAGAACAAAGCCTCATTTTGTCCTGTATTCTGACCTCACGATGGAAAACCATCTGATATCCATGAGACCAGAAATAGCTGTACCATTAGGCAGAGTGAGTCAATTGCCTCTAGGAACAGATTGTAGCAATAGCAATAGCAATAGCATGTACTATTTATCAGTGAACTCAGCACCCTCTAAGTGGTTTACAGTCTGTAAGCTAATTGCCCCCAACAAGCTGGTACTCATTTTACTAACCTACGAAAGGATGGAAGGCTGAGTCAACCTTGGAGCCCTGTCTGGGATCGAACTCATAACCTAGTGGTTGCAGTACTGGCATTTAACCACTGTGCCACCAGGGCTCCCTTTTTTAAATTATGAAGGCGATCACAAGCAGATTCCTCATGGCTCATGCTGAGCCACTTGGCTGTTACTCTCTCTTGAAGGACTGAGATGTGTGTACCTTGTGGCCTGTCCCGAACCCTCAAACTGGCTTGCCCTACTCATGTGGGTGGGAATCCTACTGAAGTAGGATTCAACTGCCAATCTAGCCCAGATTCTTTAAGTGGGCTGAAGGAAGAGACATTGGCTAGCCCTGCATTGAAAAGCTTGTAAACAAAACAAGCAGTATATTAAGAGATGTAGTGGATACTAACAAATTCTGATGGCCAAACATAAGATGCCTCATTTAAGATGTGGTGAACTGCCATGAGGTTTTTCTCATTTCAGAACTTCTACATGCAGACATATGCACTTCCTGCCTGAAGGAGTTTCTTTTAATAATAATAGTAATAATAATAACATTTATTTGTATCCCGCTTATTGCCAGACAATCCA